AAAAAAAAAAATAAAAAAAGACAGCCAGTATCACCTTCCCATGTAGGAAGTAAACAGTTTAACCTTGATGAATAATATATTTTTTTCTTTCCTATTTGCCTTTTTATGCCTCTCTTGATTCTTATATTTGAAGACTGAATTCTTTGTTCGCCTCTGCATTTTTTCAACAGGAACATTGGAAGTTGCATATTTCATTGAATTCCATCTCCTCTCCTGAAAGATCATGCTCAGTTTTTCAGGGTAGTTTATTCTTGGTTGCAATCCAAGCTCTTCTGCCTTGCAGAATGTGATAAGCCAAGCAAGCCCTCTAATCCTTTAATGTAGAAACTGTTAGGTCCTGCATAATCCTGACTGGTTCCATGATATTTAAATTGTTTCTTTCTGCTTGCTTGCAGTATTTTGTCCTTAATCTGATAATTCTGAAAGTTGCTTATGATATTCCTTGCAGTTTTCTTTTTGGTATGTCATCCAGGAGGTCATAGCTGGATTCTTTTCATGGATATTTTACCCTGTGGTTCTAGGAATTCAGGGAAAGTTTGCTTGACAATTTATTGGAAGGTTTTTTTTTTCCCCCATGGATCTCAAGTAGGCCAGTAATTCTTAAATTATGTCTCTGGGATCTATTATCCAGGTAAGTTGTTTTTCCAGTGGGGAATTTTACATTTTCTTCTATTTTGTCATTCCTTCGGTTTTGTTTGATGATTCTTGCTGTCTCATACAGTCATTAGCTTCCACTTACCCAATTCTAATATTTAAGGAATAGTTGACTTCACTTAGCTTTTGTACCTCCTTTTCCATTTGGCCAATTCTACTTTCTTTTTTTTCAACTTATATCCACCCCCTTCATGTATACCCCTTTAACATGGTGTAATAACACTACTATTCTCAAGAATTACAAGTGTCATCTTCCCTTGTAGGGATGTAAACAGTTTGTCTTTCTTAACAACATATTGTATCTTTCTGTCCTGTTTACTTTTTTATGTCTCTCTTGAGTCTTGTATTTGAAGATCAAATTTTCTGTTGAGTTCTGATCTTTTTATCAGGAAGATTTGAAAGTTCCCTTTTTTGTTGAATATCCATCTCCTCCCCTGAAAGATCATGCTCATTTTCATTGGGTAGTTGATCCTTGGTTGTAATCCAAGCTCCTTTGCCTTATCATGTAGAAGCTGCAAGTTCTTGTGTAATATTGACTTTGGTTCCATGATATTTAAATTGTTTCTTTGTGGCTGCTTGCAGTATTTTCTCTTTGACCCGGTAACTTTGGAATTTGGCTACTATATTCTTTGTCATTTTCAATTTGAGATGTCTTTCAGGAGGTGATCAGTGGATTCTTTCTAGGGCTATTTTACCCTCTGGTTCTAGGACCTCCGGGCAGTTTTCCTTGATGATTTCCTGAAAGACACTGTCCAGGCTCTTTCATTTGTCATGATTTTCAGGTAGACCAACAATTATAAAATTGTCTCTCCTGGATCAATTTTCCAAGTCAGTTGTTTTACCAATGAGGTATTTTACATTTTCATCTATTTTTTTTCACTTTTTGTTTCTATTTCACTGATTCTTGCTCTCTCATAGAGTCATTAGCTTCCATTTACTCAATTTTAATTTTTAACAAATTGTTTTCTTCTATTAGATTTTGTACCTTACTCCCATTTGGCCAATTGTGTTTTTTGGGACTTGTTTTCTTCAGTGTACTTTTTTTTCCATTTGGCCAATTGTATTTTTTATGGACTTGTTTTCTGCTATGCACTTTTTTCCAGTTGGCCAATTGTGTTTTTTAAGGATTCTTGTACCTCTTTAATTTGACTTTTGAAATCCTTCTTGAGGGGCAGTGAGGTGGCACAGTGAATAAAGCTCTGGGCTTGGAGTCAAAAGGACCTGAGTTCAAATCCATTCTCAGACACTTAACACTTACTAACTGTGTGACCTTGGGTAAGTCACTTAACCCCAATTGCCCCATCAAAAAACAAAAAAATAAATCCTTCTTAAGCTCTTCTAAGAAGGCTTTTTGGTCTTCAGACCAGCTCATATTCCCTTTTGAGGTTCCACATATGTGTCTATTGACAATGTTGTCCTCTTCAGAATTTCTGCCTTGATCTTCACTGTTCTCATAATATGAATCTGTGGTATGTTCGTTTTTACTCATGGTGTTTGCTTCTTTCCTGGCCTTGTGAGAAATTGAGTTCCTGTGCTGGGGAGCAAAGGGCACTGACCCAAGCTCCTTGTGTTGGGAGCTTTGGGCCTGGTCACTGTCTTGTTGCTGGCCCCCAATGTTGGTAGTTGGAGGCTGTAGGGTCTGGCAACTTACTTGATGTTGGGCTAGAATCAGCAGCACTGGAACTCTAGGGGTAAGACTGGGTAGTCTGGCTCCTGGATGTTGGCTACTTTGACTTTCCTTTTGCTTTCAGATGGATGTTGCAGGATGTCTATCTGCCTGGGTCCCCTTGGAGAGCTTCACAAATTTTTGCTGAGGCATTTTGAGACTGCCATAGAATCCAAGGGACATGGTGGTTTTCCAAGCTGGTTTCCACTGGTTCCCCTGCCCATACAGAGGCACTCTTGGATCCTGGTATTGGTGTTTGCCTGCTCCACCACCTGGGTGTCAGGATCTCCTCCTGGTATGCTAAACTGGGGCCTTCTGCTAGCTTGCTGGAACTCCTCCTGTTCCATACTGCTCCCCTTCCCCCTGAGCAAGAGGGCCCTTCCAGGTTAAGGCCTCAAGCTACCTGGGCTACTGGACTGCTGCTCCCTGTCTTTCTTGGTTAGCTTTCCAGGTTTTTCTGGGTGATTCCCGGCTTGCAGAGTTCGATTTCCAATTCTCCTTTTCAAGAAGTTGCTTTCTTCAGTGGATTTTTTTTTCCATTTGGCCAATTATATTTTGTGAGGAATTACTTTCTACGATCAATTTTTGTCCTTTCTTTTCCAACTATTGACGCTCTCTGCATGCCTCTCATTCATTTCCCCCTTTTTCTTCTGCCTCTCTAATATGACCTTTAAAATCCTTCTTGAGCTCTTCCAAGAAGGCTTGTTGGGCTTGAGGCCAGTTTCTACTCTGCTTTGAGGTTCCAGGTCCAGGTTTATTGACAAGGTTGTCTTCTTCTGAGTTTGTGTTTTGATCTTCCCTGTCCCCACAGAAAGAGTCTGTGATCAGTGTTTGTTTCTGCTTTTTTCCCATGATGTTAGCCAATTTCTTGGTTTTTAAAGTACAGCTGTCCTGCTGGAGCACAGGTTGCACTGTTGAAAGCTTCTTGTGCTGGGGGTAAGAGCCCTGATTGCTGCCTTTGTGTGCTGGGGCCTCAGGTGCTGGCCGCTGGGGCCTGGCAGCCTACATGTTGAGCTGGTCCTGGGGTGTGCTGGTGGCTAGCCAAGTAGGGTTGTTCTGTGTGTCACCTGGACTATAGTGAAGCACTTGAAGGTCTGGAAGCTGGGGGACTCTGCCCTGCAGAGGCTGCACAGAAGCACAAGAAGTCCAGCCACTTGAGGAAGCCTCCCTACCTTGACCTAAGCTAAATCACTGGGACGTCTGGCTGCTGGATGAAGTCTGCCCACCTAGGCTAGGGCTGGCCTATGTGGTGGTTCTCTCAGCTGGAGTCTGCCACTTCTCCTGACTCTCGTAGGGCACCTGGGGGATCCTGGTGTTGACATTTACCTGCCTTCTGTAAAATGAGCTGGGGAAGGAAATAGCAAACCACTCCAATATCTTTATCAAGAAAAACCTAAATGGGCTCACAAAGAGTCAGACTCATGTGAAAAATGACTGAAGAACAACAACAAGGAAGTAAGGTAGGCATCGCCTTGAGGAGTATTTTCCCAGGGTGCCCCACTGGGCTTTGAAGCAGGAAGGCTGTAATGAGTTGCCTCATCAAGAGCTGGGTAGAACAAAGTTGGCTGCCCTATCTCTCACCTGGCCATGGTGCCTGGGCACACATGACAACATCAATCTCTTTGTGTTTGTTTCTTTCTGATCTAAAGCAAGTGAATATTTTCAGATGAAACCATTGAGGTGACCTGGGAAGTTCCCAAGGGTAGACAGAACTGAACAGAGACAATCATAACATCCTCAAAGCAATAACGAACAGTGTCATTGGAAGCACCTGCACTGGGAGCAGAGACACAAGAAGGACAAAGTGACATATTGTTTCCTCTGGGCTCATGCTCTAAACTCCCACTGGCACTGGCAGGTTGGGTCCCCTACAAGGTGACTAACTACTCTTCCCACGGATCTAGGGGTAAGCAAAGTGATTCTCCTAAAGTGCAGGTCCAACCACGTCAATTCATACTCAGTAACCTCCAATAGTTCCCTATTATCTCCAGGATCAAATACAGAATCCTATATTTGACATTCAAATCCCTTCACAATATTCTATCTTCTTACTCTCCAAAATTCTATCCAGTGACACTGGCCTGCTGGCTGTTCCACAAACAAGATACTCCATCTCTCAACGTCAGACATTTTCTCTGGCTGTCCCCCATGCCTGGAATGCTCCCCATCTCAGCCTACTGCTCCTTCAGTCCTAGCTGAAATCCCACGTTCTACAGGGAGGCTTTTCCAATACCTCACATTTTTCTTCTTTTAAAGGCAATCAGGGTTAGGTGACTTGCCCAGGGTCACACAGCCAGTAAATATCTGAGGCTAATTTGACTCAGATCCTTCTGACTCCAGGTGCTCTATCCACTTTGCCACCAAGCTGCCCCTTCCAATGCCTCACAATACTAGTGCCTTCCCTCTTTTATATCCTATTTATCCTGTATTGAGCTTGTTTGTACACATTTTGTTTGCTTGATGTCTCTACAATTAGATTGAGATCTCCATGAGGGCAGACACTGCCTTTGCTCTCATTTTGTATCCCCAGGGCTTAGCACATTTGCCTGGCAAGTAATAGGTGCTTAAGTGTATATGTGTGTGTTGTGTGTGGGGGGGTCACTTGTTCTTGAAAAGGAACATGACATCAGAGAGATGACATGACTTGCATTTGACTTTGATTTGAGGGATAGAGATCTGTGCAAAGTCACCAGCCTCACTTTCTTCTCCCGAGCCATCTGGGTCCAGTGGCCAGACATCAATCAGAACAATTGGAGGACAATGAAATATAATGAGAATGAATAAAATGAACTAAAAATATGAAAGAACGAGTGTCCTGCTTTTAACAGCACTGTGCCTTTAGTGGAATAAAAGTTGACCGTGGACACAGGAAGACCTAGGTTCAAATCCTACTCTTACACATACTAGTTGTGTTACTCTGGATTTGCCATCTAACCTATCAGCATCCCAAGAAAATAAGACAATAAGTTACAGGCTAAAATGTCAGTAAAAGCCAGTACTATGAACTACAGAATTGCTGATATGCATCAGTGGAGTTCACACAGTGATGAAATCTCAGGTTTAGGCTATCGCAAATGAATTATAAACAACAAATCTAGAATAAGCTATAGCAAAAGGAGAAAGAAACTACATGAAAGGGTTAAATAAGAGAGAAAGGAGGAGAAAAATCAAGTGGCAAAGATCACAGAATACATAAATGAAAATGCCAAATATATTTTATTCATTATCTATTTTCTAACATCTTATATACAAAAATTACAGAAAACAAATGAAGTCTGGTTGGTGACAGTGAAGAAAAAAAGCGCCAAATGTCTTTTGTGTCATTGGTTCTCTTGGCCAGTCTTACAAGCAACAGTAATTTTGATCTGCCTTTAGACGTAATTAATTCCATAAGGATTGATGGGGGGCCAGAATTGATTAGTGATTTCCTTGTCTGGAATTTTGATGTTAAAGCCCATCATCTTCGTAACAGATTCTCTAAAATCCACAAGCTATGAGGGGGGAAAAGTAATGAAAAGTAAAGGAAAAAGTAGCATCAACAGCACAGGATTTTTGACATTCATTTGATTAAGACAACTCTATGAGAGAGCCATTTCTTTATGATCAGTGGTAACATAGAGCATCAAACTAGATTTTAAAACAACTTCCTGAAAAAGTGTCCTTTTTTTGGTATGATGTCTCCATGAACTGATATTGTATATTCAAATAAATTTCTTAATATCTAATTCATAATGTCTTAGGCATCTACTTTTTCGGCTCAATCGTATAGTTTTCATTGCTGTAAATACAGTCTGTTCCAAAAGTCTTAGAGCAGCTTTAAGCTTTTATAACAAAAGTAATACTAACAAAACTTAAATATCTTTTTTAAATATTTTATTTTCCCCTAATTACGTGTAAAAACAATTTTTTTCCGTGCGACCTAAGTGAACTTCCCATAAGTGAAGAACAAAAAGGGCACCTGTTTGTTTAAATGAAATAGAGGAGCTTCCCACAATACTGACAAACAAAACCCCTGGTTGAGTTTCTGAAGAAACCTCACTTATCTCAACTTACATGGATGTGGATGACTTTCCTCAGCTGAGTTTTCATGATTTGATTTGCCATTTCCATTTCACTGAGCTCTTTCTTAAGTTTCATCACATTTTCTTCCAGCCTAACCATTGGAGGATTCTGCAACAAGCTCTGCTCAATACTCATCAGAATCTGTTGACTTTTTTCCTTCTCCAGCTGCATGAATTTCTCATCCAAATCTTCTGTCAGCAAAGTCTCCCTTTGGTTGAGTTCGCCCTGAGCTTCTCCCTATGTGGAAAAAAAGGAGATGGTCCTTCAGAAGGTCTTAAGACCCTGACTGTTTCTGGGGTTACCCCTACTGGAGCCGTAACTGATTAGTCAGTCATTCTTTTCAATGCAAGTTAAAGTCATTAACAAATGTAATCTGCATCCACTTCAGCAGCAAACTAAGTGGAGTACTAGAGGAGGACTTAGATAGCCAGGGTTCTGAGGCCAAGATTTGTCTCACCTGCCTAGGCCTCAGTTCTTCGTCTAAAACAGGAATCAGAATCCTTCTCCTCCTTACCCCACAGGGTGATTGTGAGGATCAGTCAGGACAATAGAGGTGAAGTGCTTTGTAACAGAAAATCATACTTCCATGTGAGTGAAAACTTCTTGTGGTTAATGTTTTTGGTTCCATTTGTGAAAGGCACCTGAGAATTGGTATCTTTAGAAGGAAACCAGGGGCAGCTGATTGGCACAGTGGATAGAGCACTGGCCCTGAAGTCAAGAGAACCTGAGTTCAAATCCGGACTCAGACTAAACACTTGACACTTACTAGCTGTGTGACCCTGGGCAAGTCACTTCACCCCAATGGCCTAAAAATTTTAAATTTTTTTTAAAAAAGTAAATAGAATGAAGCCAAACTTTGGCTTAGTTGAGATGGGGTGAGATGTTATTTCCAACTAATTCATTTCAAAACAGAAGCAATGCTTTCATTACTTCTGTCGTCATGTGAAATGGTCACTAAGACAGAGAAAAAATTAAGGAGGCAAACTAGACCCCGACTCGTGAGTCTGAGCTCCAGGCTCTGTGTGGGCCTAAATAGACTAGATTCAATGGAGGGAACTTCAAAAATCACTTTCTCGTTGGCTCGGGTGGCTTCTCCTCCTGTGTTGCCTCCAAGGAAATCACAGCATGATGTTTCAATATGACAAACATCTAGGACTCCACAGATGTTGATAAAGGCACTCCAGAGAAGACATGCATAATTTAGGCACTGGAAGACCTTTGTTCCACCCCTCAGAAAACACAGAAAAGACTAACAGTAGTCCATAAACCAGCTCTACCACTTTCCTCCTCTTCTGTTGATTTCTACCATTTCCCCAGGCTTGTAAAGCCCTTGAAAAATCCTGTACTTTGGACTCCTTGTGGGAGGAAATTAACTTGGAATCATCAGAGACGAAATACACCAATATTTTTCTTTCACCCCCAGAGACCCAGACTGACTCCATAGTTATGGGTTTCCCTCTCTTGGAATGGTATTTGATACAGACAGACCTACATTACCAGGTAACACATGGTCATATTAGGGGTCAAAGTGGAGGTCTTTTGTTTCCCCATATTGTAGTGATTTCACTGCTGCCAAGTGCCTGAGCCTCTTCTCATATCAAGACATCCCCAAAGCCAGGAAATCATCTCATCTTAATAAAAATCTGGAATGTGGGGCCTACTTTTTTTTTTTTTGCCTTGGAGTCTGGGGCCTTCTTCTCAAGCGATGTGGTTGGGAGGCCAAGGAGCTCATGTACCTTTGCCTCAAGAAATGTTAATGGATTCCTGGGGGAGTAACATCCTCTCTCCCTCCCCACCATTACCCTTCCCTGGCCACCAATATGATTCAGGTTCTCTCTGTTATGCCAGGCTATGCTCTGGAAAAGAGAGAAAAAGGAAGAGGTTAAAAATGAGATTGAAGCCTCCCTTAAAAGGTGAATACATTGGGATCCCACTGACCTTTGGCACCCTGCCTGCTGACTGGTGAGCATCCAATTCTCTGAACTGAACACTAGGAGAATCCAATCCACTAGATGGTGGTAGTGTTGCCAGGGGATAACACACATCCTTCATAAAAACATAATCAAACCCACAAAAAGGCTTAACAACATGTTCACACAAGTTGAGTAAGGTAACTGACATGTATATAGAGTTTCAAATCAGTAAATAGTTGAACACATAATGTCTTATGGGATTAAAAAAACTAGTCCTACTATTTACTTATGTAACCGTAATACAATGGACAATGAAAAAATTATTTTTGATGAAGCCTTTGTTGATGTTGAGAACAATTGGTTTGGGGAGGGAAGAAGGAGAGGAAGAAGAAAAGAATATGTACTGACACTCCTAAAGTGCAGCACAAGCCATCTTTCATTCACAAAGGAATCAAAACTTTAGTAGAACCTCAGATAAGGGCTCACATTAAAAATGTATTTTTTAAACTAGTAAAACTAAAATTTTTCAAACCAGACCAAATGATTCCCAAAACAGAACTCTAGATTCTTTTTCACTAATTGCAACCATATTGTTTAGTTATACACTAAGATTATTTTAAAAATAAATGCTCAAAATTTATTTGCCAGTGTGTTCCCCAAAGGGCAGTAATTTCTTTTGGTGGCACAGAATTTTCTTATGTATGATAACACCTTACATTTGCAGGGCACTTACAAGTTTACAAAGCATTTTAGATCCATTAACTGATTTGAGATTTACTACAATCTCTTGCTTAAGTCTTATCATCCTCACTGTATACATGAGTAAACAAACCCTAAGAGTTGAAGCTATTTATTCAAGGTCAGCCAACAACCAATGGTTGGAGCCAGGATCCAGATGCAGATCTCATCCTAAGTCCTGCATTACACCATGTTGCCTCTCATGAATGGCATGAACAATAACACTGTAAAGTGGATGACCTATAATGTGTTTGTTTTTATTTTGTTAAAAGTGGCTCAATGTTAGTTATGTACATGCTGTGTTCCAGTTAGATTCTGAGATCATGGAGAACAGTACTAGGATGTGAGTGACCAATGAGAACCCAGTCCTCAGGGAGCATGTTCAATTCGCTTGGCCTGATACAATTCCTGTTTTAGTAATAGTAATAGAGTATTAGAGAGTAACAGAGATAATAGGAATAGAGGCACCTACTCTGCTCTTCAGAGCAAGAATACAAACTGGCTCACCAAAATTCCATGAAGGAAGACACATCAGCCAGAGTGTATTGTGCATGCTCCTAGTGAAGGGCTCTCATTGGCCAACCAATCATTTCAAAAGTAATCCTCTCTCTTCATAAATACTGCTCCCTTCTAAGTGTTATTGTGTCTGAAATTCTACCATGAGATAATCATTCTTATAGGATCTTCTTTTAAAATTCCACGACAAAATTTCCTCACTCTAAAAATCAAGTATTTATAATGAGTTGTGGGTAACATGGACTTTCTAATTACTTTTGCACAAAATCAGGAGAATAGGAATTAGTCAGTTTTTTGTCCCTCTGCACCTGTACCCAAAAAAAAAAAACACTTTTCCTTATTGGCTTTTTGGACCTCTTTTGCTATTTGGGTTATTCTGTTTTATAAGGTGTTATTTTCTTCACTATTTTTTTGAGTCTCCTTTAGTTAACTGTCAAAGTGTTTTTCATGATTTTCTTGCAATACTCTCATTTATCTTCCCAGTTTTTCCTCTACCTCTCTTACTTCCTTCTCAAAATCCTTTTTGAGCTCTTCCGTTGCCTACGACTGATTCACATTTTTCCTGGAGGCTTTAGATGTAGGAGTTTTGACTTTGTTGTCTTCTTCTGGTTGTATGTTTAGATCTTCTTTGTCACCAAATTGAAGATTCTATGGTCTGCTTTTTTGTGCTGTTTGCACATGTTCCCAGCCAATTACTTGAGTTCTAAAGTCCTTGTTAAGATAGTATTCTGCTTCAGCTGTGGAGATGGTAAGCTTCAGGGGTTTTGTGCAGCTATTTTCAGAGATACTGGGACCTGTAAATTTTCCGTTCTTTCAGGGTGGTATGATCAAGGGTGAGGTGTTTATTCCTTTCTTGGCCTGCTCTCTACTCTCTAAGTGTGCACAAGCACTCTTTTCTGCCTTGGAACTTTGAGGAGGATTCTCTCTCTACCACCAGCACAAGCTCCACCAGGCCAACGCTCCTCCTTGCCCCAGGATCACTACCCAGAACTGCTACCAATATCTAAGCATGGGCAAAGCAACAATATCCTGCCTCAGCAACAGGAAAGAGATCTCTACAATCCCCCTCTGATCAGCCACTTGATTCCCCCTCTGTCTGTGGGCCAAGAGCTCTGGAAGCAGCTGGATCCCCGGGGCTGTGCCTGAACTGGGGCAGGACTAACCTCCTCTCTCACTGTGGTCCAGCAGACATTTCTTACTGACCTAAGTTTTCTTTGGTGTTTGTGGGTTGAGAAAACTGGAAACCACCACAGCTCTCCGTGATTCAATCCCCTGAGGACTGATCCAGGTTTGCTGAGGCCAGGTCATTGTCTGCATGGCCCAAGCTGAACTATGCTCCTCTCCCAGCCTGGTGCAATTGAACTTCTAATCAGCCAACCAGTTTGTATTGGGCTGGAAATTTCTTTCATTCTGCCTTTTTGTGGGTTCCGTTCTAGAATTTGTTTAGAGCCATTTTCTACTGGTATTTGGAGGGGTCTGAGGGAGAGCTCAAGCAAGTCATTGCATTTACTCCGCCATCTTGGCTCTGCCACATCAGCAAGTCCCCAAAAACTTTTAAGAATGCTAATAACAATGTTATTTTTATGCACACTGGGTACAACTGAGGTCATTAATATAATTTAAAATATTTGTTTTTCCTTGCCATATACTTTAATGGAGTCTTATGTTCTTCTTGTCTAAATACCATTTCCCTTGAAAGAAGTCATCAGCAGCAATTTTCCTTTCTGAAAGCTTCAGGGACTTCTGCTCCAAAAGCTTTTCTTCACTTTGGTATGAGGCACACACAGCTGCTGCTTCTTCTTCTTTTGGCTAGGAAATGTGGTTAAGTGACTTGCCTAAGTGTCAAGTGTCTGAGACTGGATTTGAACTCAGGTCCTCCTAATTCCAGGGCCTGTACTCTATCCACTGTGCCACCTGGCCATCCCACACACAGCCTCTTGATGAAGTTGATGCTGCTGCTCCACCTGCAGAGTTAGCAACTGGATCTCTTGCTGAAGGACATCAGTTTTCTGCAGGTAAATTACAAAAGTGAGATTTGTCCAGACATCCCTTGTTTGCTCCTTCCTTTGCAAGCCAAGCATGCAAGTCCAATTATTATACTCCAAATATGGATTTCGTTATGCTGGCAACTTCCCCTCAAGGAAATCTGCAGTGTAGATCATTGGTTGAGATGAATAGGAGAAAAGGGAGGCTGGTGTACACAAATAGAACACTTCACTCTAACTTAATGATGGAACTGTCTAATCAATTTTCAGGAGCCAGAGAACCTCCACAATGAAAAAACTAGAATATGAGGCAAAAACAAGATTTTTATGGAAGGCCTCTGCAACACATATTCAGTCCTAAATAAACCAATATTTGTATGAATTGGAGGTGAAGAAAGAGAGGAAGAACAGTTTTTGCAACACTGATTTCCAGGTGATGAATTATCTGCATGAGACTATTGGTTCAATTATTCTGATGACATTGAACTGGTGGTTTTACTTTTTTTTTATAAAGCCTTGTTGATACCTTGTTGGTTTGATATACAGTAGATGATTCTATAGAGAAAAAGAAAAAAGTTTGGCGACCACCACATATTCACTAGATATGTTTCCACATGACTTTGGGAGATCTCCTTAACAAGTGATTGAAGCAACATTATTGGGTTTTAACAATTGAAAATATCCTACTATGAGAAATGGTAAAATTAGCTTTGTAATTTGTTTTACTCTTTCACTTGCTTTTCTGCTGTGAAAGCTCAACAACCAAAATGGACTTATAATGTGAAATGAGGAAAGCATTTCCTAAATTAGGAACCAACTTAGTTATAAGGAGAAAATTCTAAATGACAACTTTTCTGTCATTCTATTGCTCTTTAATCTTAAAGAAGAAGGCTGTCTGTCTCTTCTTCTGTACATAAATGTGGTCATAGATTCTTATTTGAAGGTAAAGGACATGGGCCATCCATAAAGAGTTGGTAGAGTCTTCATTTTTAGAGCTGGAAAAGATCTTAGATAACATGTATTCCAATCCCTCACTTTGAGAGATGAAGAATCAGAGGCCCAGAGAAGTAAGTCACCAAAAACACTGATCTGGCAACCAGGATTCGAGACCTGTCTTTCCTGCCTTCAACAAATTACTTTATTTCTTTGTATCACACCTTTCCTAATCTGTAAAACAAGGTTGAGAATACTTGAACTACCTTCTTCATAGCATTCCTCTACTGGTATTTTACCATTAACATAATATGATAACATAATCTAATAAATGTAAAAGCACTTTGAAAAGTTCAATGGTTTCAAAGGGCTATAGGAAAGGAAAGTGTTCTCATCACTATTTACTATCAGTGAAGAGACCTAGGGAATCAACATAACAGAGCAAATGTCTCCTGAACTAATTCTGTTTCCTTTTTTATTTTTTGAAAGGGTTACTGGAAGGAAAGAAGGAAACAAGCATTTCTCAGGAGCCCTCTATGTGTCAGACACTGTATGAAGCACTTCACAATATTATTTCATTTGATCTTCATCTGTGTGGCCAGTTTCATTATTATGTCCCTTTTTACAGATGATGAAACCGAGGCAGCAGAGATTGTCTTTGAACTCAGGTCTTCCTTTTGCTCTATCCATTAGCTGCCCCTAACTACACATCAGCAGAATGCTGCAAAAAATATAAATATTCTGCATAGACTCCAGGAAAGTATTTGACAAAAATGGAAATAAGTGGGACAGAAAGAAACACAATTCTGTAGTTGGAAACCAGTTCACTGACCACAATCAAAGAGCTCATTACAGTGGGTTAGGAAGGTCTGAAGCAAAGTACTCCAGAGATCTCCAAAGGTCCTTACATTGTTTAACACTTTTTTATCACTGACTTAGATGGAAGCACAGATGGCCTATTTATGAAATCTGTAGGTGATCTAAAGCTAGAGGAAACTGTCATACTAGATGACAGAGTCGGGAGCCAGAAAAGTTCTTCCCAGCAAAAAAAAAAAAATGAGGTTGAATCTCATCAGATAGACTATAACAGGGAAGATTTTTTTCAGTCATGTCTGACGCTTCATGACCCCTTTGGGCGGTTCTCTTGGCAGAGATACTGCAGTACTTTGCCATTTCCTTCTCCAGATCATTTACCATATGAGGAAACTGAGGCAAAAACGGTGAAGTGAATTGTCCAGGGTCACATAGCTAGTAAGTGCCTGAGGCCAGATTTGAACTCAGGAAGTTGAATCTTCCTTATTCTAGGCCAAGCACTCTACCTACTGGAAAACCTAGTGATTTTTGTGCCTTTGATCTCCTTGGCGAGCATGCTCAGGTAGTAGAGAGTCTTTTGCAAATGGAGGTTCTTTAATTAATTTCTATCCACAGTCCTGATCTTTATACAACAGAGAAAAGAATTGAAATTTTTCCTTGTTGTCCTTTTTTCCGTAGGCTGATATTATGGTTTCACCTAATACAGTGCTCACTGATGCAAGTAGATGTTTGATATAGAGCTGAATTTTGGAAGTCAGAGTTCTTCCTTTCCAGGGGAAAATGGAGGGAAGAGCTCCTCTAATTATATCTCATTCATCGGTTACTTTGCTCAGGTTGGTGAGGAGAGGCAGCCTGATGTGAATGATTAGTGCTGGATGGGGGTCAGAAAGTTGAACTCAGTTGACACTTCTATCACACACCAGTTGTGAGATCGTGGACAAGTCACTTAAAACTCTCTGAGACTCAGTTTCCATATATGTCAAGTGTGGTTAATGTATCTACATTACACAATTGCAGTAGGCCTATATAGTATGCAGTATAAGATGTCACAAAAGTTGTAGTGCTGTTTTAAAATTTAATAGTATTGGGGACAACATAAAAAATTGAAGCCCTGTGTAATTGTTGGGTTCAAGCGTGCCAAGAAGCAGCTTCCTCATTCTCTAGTATATGGTGTTCTGCCTGAAGGCCACCTTACCACTCGCAAAATTCAAACCTTCTCTTTGAAAGAGAAGCAGCGATTTGGATCTTACAGAAACCATAGTCAAAGGAACACTGCCATCAGCATATTTTTTTAAAAAACACATTAGAAAATGGCTGGAGAGCCAGTAATCAGCGCGTTTATCATTCACGTTTATTGAGGAAGAACTTCCCCTGAAAACTCTATGAAGATGATCCACGCACCTCTGTCTGCAGAGTCTTCTTGGCCTCCCCCAGCAGATCTGCATGGTCAGACGTATGGACTGGGTCAGCTGCCCCTTTGAAGTGCTGTTTATGCTTTGGGGAGGAAACTGCTTCCAGGGATGGGTCTAAAGGAGACTGAAAAGAGAAATGACAACCTCAGTATGTGAGCCTTGAACACCAGCCTTATGGATAGGACTAAGAAATGACCATCCCACCACAGTCACTCAAATGGGAAACAAGAAACAACACTATTCTTCTCTACTAACCCAGCATATGATTAATCATCCCCCAAAAGCAGTCCTACCAGGACAATCAGCAAAGGGTCTTTACCTTCTTTCTGGGAAAGAAGACTAAACATTTTCATTGTATGAACATAGTTTTTTCCTTGTTGCCTCCCCCATTAGAATGGCAGCTCCTTGAGGGCAGGGGACTGTCTTGTGCCTTTCTTTGAATCCCCTACACTTAACATAGTGACTGAAACATAGCTGACACTTGATGAATGCTCAGTCACTTAACTTGACATAAAAGAATATGTGTCTGCCTAGATAAATGTGTCTACCATGGAGCACAAGGACCATGAAAAATTATTTTTAAAAGTCGGAGGAAAATTTGTCTAACAGCCCCTAAAAGTTTTGCAGTGACAGTAAGCCACATTGGTCACTCATAGAAGAGTTCTTATTCTTTTGGTTACCAGGCAGATCCCATTGAATTCCAGAGGATCATAGGACTTGAAACTGAAGATGACTTTGGAGGTGGTGGGGAACTGAGTGTATCTATGAGGACACTGAAGGCCAGAGACATGAAGTGGCTTGATCCTTTTCGTCAATGACCATCTAATTGAATTGGAAACTCTTACATATTATAGCTATTGGGTCTTATTATTATGACCACCATCATCATCATCATTGTCATGACCCATAGTTTTTTATTTCTTTTCTAAGTTCCTGAGATATAGATATTTCCTCTATGACAATAGCCCCCTCTAATATCAAATAAGGGGAAGAAGCTTTCTAAATTGTCAGTTATATTAACTATTTTGTTGAGTAAAAGTTTATGAAACTAACACATAACAAGGAAAAATAGTCTACTATCAGTTAAATAACCATCAGAAGAAGATACATTGATCACACTGAACCAGGTGAAATGAAAATTTCAAACCCCCAAAATCAATCTGACACATTCAGGGGCTCTTTGCGGCACTCTGACCTGAGTTACCCCAAAGACAAAACATAGGGATCTGTTGCGGCTGCTGTTTTTGTTGTTCAGTCATTCTGTCATGTCCAACATGCCTTGACCCCATGGATTCTGTCCATGGGGTTTTATGGCAGACACTGAAGTGGTTTTCTATTTCCTTCTCCAGTGTGTCCCCGTTTTGCAGATTAGGAACCAAGGCAAATAGGAGATAAGTGACTTGGCCAGGGTCACACAGCTAGTAAGTGTCTGAGAAGCAATTTGAAGTCAGATCTACCTGCCGCATTCTAAGCACAGACATCAGCAGTAATGCAAACCAAAGTTGGGAGCCCAGATAATACAGATCAAAAGGAAGCAAGATCCCACCATCTAAGAGTGCAAAAGTGGGAGGAGGCTGACCTTGAGAAAAGTTCCAATTCAGGAAAGGCTGAAAATCTGAGTAAATAGAAGATGACATTTCCAAAAAAGAAGTTTTATGGAACCAGGGATGTCTAAGACACAAAGAAGGATATAATAGCTCCACAGTATCCATAGATAAAAGAGAGAAGACAGGAGGGAGGGAGAGGGAGGGAGAGAGAGAAGACAAGGATAGAGAGACAGAGAGGAGAGAGGAAAGGAAGAAAGAAAGAAGGAAGGAAGGAAGGAAGGAGGGAAGGAAGGAAGAAAGAAGGAAGGAAGGAAGGATAGAAGGAAATAAGGAGACCTTTTCATGTACTCTGAGTCATTAAGGCATTGGCCTTGTTATTGTTCTTCAAACTAGAAACTCTATCTCTCAATTCCAGGCATTTTCACTGGTTGCACCAGTGAATCATTTCCTGCTTCATAGCCATTTTTGTTTTCCTGGCTTCCTTAACGTTCTACCTAAAATCCCACTTTCAACAAGACATCCCTGTAAGTTATTAATTCTAGTGCCTTCTCTCTATTAATGCCTGGTTCTTATCTCAATGAGAGACAGAGAGAAGAGAGAGAGGGAAGAGAAAACTGTTTCATTTTGTCACTTCACAGATGTCACTGAAGAGTAGAATTTTGGGGAATCTTAAAGATCACTATTTTCTGGACAAAGAAACAGTCACACAGTAGCAGAAATGGGATTCTTAACTAGGTCTCCTAAGACTAAGACTGGATAGTATTCTTTCCTCATTCAAACACTTTGAATTATTAAGTAGCTCAGAGGGGATTAAATCAAAGGGTCATCTATACTTTGCCTGAAGATTTCCAGTGACAGAGACCTCACTACCTCAAAGGTAGCCCATTCTTCTTTTGAAAGTTCTAATTGTCACAAAGTTTCTCTTTTTATGAGATCAGAATATGCCACCTTGTGACTTCCTAATTCTTCCCTTTGGCATTAAGTAGGACACCATTTTCTGATGACAATCCTTTAAGTATTTAAATTGACTAAAAGAAACTCTCCTAAATTATCTGTTTTTCAAACAAACATTCAAAGTCACCTAGAAAGTTCTCAATAGTACCAGGACTTAAACCTCAATCTTGAATCCTAACCTAATCCTTTTTCAAGGGGTAGGGAATACAATTTGTGTGTTATCTCTTGGGCTAATACTAGATAATCTTTTTTCTGGTACACTCCTACATTAGCTAAAAGAATTAGAACAGTTTATGTTGACTTTTTTTTTTTAATAAATGAACAGGGACCTACATTTTCTCTGATTTACTAGTAACCATGAAGTAGGATGGTCACCGATCTTTCTCTTAATAGGGTGAGGAGTACAGTTAATGTTTTCAGTCTTTTTACTCCCTTTTTCCTTGTGTCTTGTCAAAGGGAACATTTTGTTATTGAGTTCTAGCCCTTCTGTTTAGAATATGAGCCATAAACTGTATTGATGAGGTGTGTGACTCAGTATTAACTATTTCTACAGTTAGAGGAAGCCATAAAACACCTCATAAATACTGAAACCAAATTAACTCTGCTTTAATTTTCATTGGAAGAAAATGTTTCATTTTAAATTGCTTTGGAGTTGTTAGGGGCAAGGATTCAAACAATCTGAAGTCTAGTGAATTTTACTGGTAAGTGTGCAGAAAAGGAATTGTGAAGCACCCAGCCACATCAGTTATGGGGAGATGGACATCCAACAGAATGTTTCCTTTTTCTTTTTCAGTGACAGCATAGGCTAAAACCCCAAGCAAGTTTGCAGAAAACTATTACACAGTGGCATATCTTATAAGAGTGTGGAAAGTAGATGGAAAAATGTCAGAGTACCTGATCCACCACTGCGCTGTTATTCCTAGATAAACATGAAAAGAGAAGCCTGATTCTTCCAATTAGGATCTGACATAGACCTTTTTGTCGTTTCCTAACAGACTTTCTTGCATCTTGTTGATTTGAAAATTCGTTTGCCATTGCAGACATGACAGGAAGAATCTTCTGGATGATACGGCTGGTTCTGCATGGAGACAATATGTATGTCAATGAGAAGGAGGCCACAAGGTCCATGTAGAGTCCACAGCAATGTCCTCAGAAAGGTTCCACTACAATCTCTTTCTCACTATTTAGCAAGTTTTCCTTGGAGCTGCCCCAGTGGAACTGTGCTACCTGGCCTGCTTGGAGCCAAGAAGGTGGGCTTTGCTTCTAAAAAGCATCTTCTAAAAAGATGATGAAAACACAGTGTTTAGATTGTAACTGTTGCAGTACCTTGTCTTTATACACACATAAGTGTGGATATATGTATGTGTGCGCATATATATATATGTGTGTGTGTATATATATATATGTATATATATACATATATGTATATATATATTTACATATGAATATACACATGTGTATTTACCTATGTACAAATGTATATGTTGTTCATAAATTAGAATATATAATAACTCATGAATCATATATATATATATATATATATATATATATGTATGTATAAACTATATTAACCTAAACAATTGGGTTATAGGCATTGATTTTTGTTCATCTTCATTTTAGAAGAGGACCAGTGAATTACAAGAGTGACATTTTGACTTGCAAGTGATTTGGATTTAAGTAAGACAGAGCTGTGCCAAGTCATCAGCCCAACCCTCTGCTCCACAGTCATCAGAGTTCTGGGCAACACATAGGTCAGGACCACTGGAGGCAGCACCAGATGCATTAAAAGACCTTGAGCTTTTTAAATTAAGGTGTTTCCCAGGTTTCAGTTTCTCTGAGGCAACACCCATTTAGTGATTCAGTTTGGTAAGCAATGAGGCAAAAGATGGCCTACTGTGCCTTCACAAAAGAATCCATCTGAAAGTGGAAGACCTTCAGAATTTCTGACTAGAATAAAACCTATTAAGTGAGGATAGGCCTCTCTAGCTAAAAGAAGGGACATCTGAAAGGAATAACATCAGTCATTTACATCTTTGTTCAAATTAGTCAGTTCCTGAGAACAGAATCTTGCCAGTCATGCAAAATTTGCTGGATGAGAAGGGACGACTGTAATCCAATCTGGGGATTACATAATCTAAACTGGGATTTTGTCTAGGAGGGCAGACTTGGGTGAGAAGCTTAATGACAATCCCTTAGGTGGTAGAGAGCCACTGGGCACCTCCTTGAAGAAGGAGGAAGGTGACAAAAAATGTAGGTGAGGGGAAGGGGCAAAAAGATGATGGTTCTTGAAGACAAACTTAATGTCCTTCACAAGTTAGCATAGGCTCATCCCTGTTTAAAATGTCTCCCTTTGTCAGTATCCATGTATAATTCAGTATAGGATTGTTCCAACTGGGGCTTTCCATTAGAACTCTGGAGGGGACTTTGTGCTGGCCTCTTTGGGATTGTTCCAACAAAGGATCTTTGCTCTGAGTGTTCCTCAACGTGGTTATCCTTCATTGAGGTAAAATGGTGAAGTATTTAACTTTGTTTGTCTTTAATGGGACTGACCCTGAAGAGGGCAAAAGAATGGATTAAACAGGCTAGGTATCCCTAGGAAATTTGGTACTGTCATTCAGCAATGAATGTTTTTGGTGTCCTCTACTTTCCTTTTCAGTATTCTCCCTCGGAGTTGGCCAGTGCCCTGGAACGCCCCCAACCCTCATTGCCACACACCACTTTGTCCTACCCTCTCCAAATCATCTCCTCTCCAACCTTCAATCAAAGCTTGCTCAAGCCCATAGGTTCTAACACATCCCTACTATACTCTAGAACAATGCTATATTATCCTAATGACTATTAATGTAATACTGTTCTTAGCCTAAGGAATTTGCAAGATGAATCCAGCAGAGATGATTCTAGCACTATATAGTGAATGAAGGGTAAGAGTGGGTGATTCATTGAGACATTTGGGGTCTTCTGGTGCCTGTCCCTCAACTACTGATGACTTAATGATACCATTCTACTCTTTCATCTTTTGCTGTGCACAAAATTCCTTTAAAGGTATTAACATCTTGTCTGTCTTGATCCTCATCATAGTACTGTGAGGTAGAGAGGGAAGATATTAGTACTTCCACTTTTTCGGCTGAGAAAACTGAGTCTCGAAAGTTGTAACACTTTCTCAGATGTATATGCCACACAGGGACCTTCCTACTCTGACTCTGCTTATGTCCGCCCCTCTATATAGTGATGTAATTTTTGAGGACACTGTTTTTCATTTTTCTATGTTCCAATTTTGTCAATTTTTGTGCTCCAAGGGAAAACTTTCCTTAGAGTTTCACAGATTTGCTTCTGGGGAAAAAAATTTTAAACAAATATCGAATATCATGTCCACTAAAATATGTTGAATAAATCAGAAAAGTCTCAATATCACTCAGTTATCCTACATTGCAAGTTTTAGTCCTATCTCCAAAAATTAGTGCAATAAAATGGGCACCAACTATTAAGCAAAGTTTTTGAAGCCTTTGACGTGTGATGGGTACAACACAGTAGTGTGACTGTTTATTTTCATTTTCCATTTTTTATAATTAAACTTAAAAACAAGACAAGAAAAAACAAAAAAACCCTTTAAGTACTAAAACTAAAATAATACAAAATAAGAGGAAAAAAGCATTGTCTTGTGCACAGCAGTATGTGAGAGAGGATTGAAAATATACATCAATAAATTTCCATTTGAAGAAAGCATATATACTAAATACTACTCATTGTGTTTAGATCTGTCCATCTTTGCTTCCTTATACATTTTCTACACTGTTGTGCACTTTTTACATTGTTCTTTTTTCCCCCTTCCTCACCTTCCCTCACCGCAGAAGGCTACAATTAAGCAGGGATATGCATTATATATATACATATGTATATACATAGAGAGAGAGAGGGAAGGGGAAATTGAGAGCTATCAGTATGATGTAAGTATGTATGTATGTGAGTGTGTATGTATACATATATACACATATGGAAACATATGGAAATGCATATATACGTATACATATATAAATACGTGCATATTTATATTATATATTCTTATACATGTGCACATACGTGTGTACATACATATATTTGTATGTATATATATATTATACACATACTATAAGAGTTATAAAACATGAAGCTACTTGGAGATCAGACCACCCAGCTCTGATATTGATGCCAATATCTCTCTTACCTTTTTCCAAAGTAGTTTTACAAATGATATAGTGACTTGTAAGTAGAAATATATATATGATTTACTATTCTTTATCTAGAAAACTAAGAACATCAAAGTTTTTAGTAAATCACTTCAAAAGAAAAATGAAAGTCTAAGACCAATCCACAGAAAGATCCTGTCTTATTAAATGGCTGCACTGCTATGCCAGTAGAATGTTAACATTTCAAAGAAGTGGTTGCTGAGTGATGACATCACTGCTCTGCCAGTAGAATGTTGACATTTTAAAGAAATGGTTGTTGAGTGCTGATACCACAAGGATCAACAGTCAGAAACTTGCAGTGATTTCAATTCAATTCAATTTAACAAATACATATATTAATTGCCTAGTGTGTGGCTAGGGATACTGAATAGAATAAAACACTAAGGATCTGGATTCAAAAGATGATTCACTATGTGTGTATATACATATTTGTGTATGTGTCTCTGTGTGTGTGTGTGTGTATACATATACATATATGTATGTACGTATGTATGTATGTATGTATGTATGTATGACTTAGTATTAGAACTATGAACCTGGAAGCTGCTGGGAGATCAGATCACACAGCTGTTATTTTGATGGCTATATGTCTCTTACCTTTTTCCAAAGCAGTCTCACAAATTACACGAAGACTTGCAAGTAGAAGTATATGATATACTGCACTTTATTTAGAAGATGAAGACCAATGTTTCTACCCTATATAGTAAAGTAGAAAAATGCAAATCCAGCACCAACTGGTTGAAGAATCCTATCTTATTAAACGGCTGCACTGCTATGCCAGTAGAAGGTTGACATTTCCACCAGATGATGGTGGAGTGATGACCTCACTGCTATACCAGTAGAATATTGACATTTTAAAAAAATGATTGCTGATAATGATATCATGAGGTTCAATGGCCAGGAAATTTGCAGTGGTTTCAAGTCAATTATTTATTAATTGCAGAGTATGTTGCAAGGGATACTCAATTGACTTACCCACTAAGGATCTTGATTACTATGTGTCAAAAGGAGGGGATGAGGGGAAAGTCTTATCCATATTGGTTATGTCAATTCAGAGCAGCCCTCCATGAGGTATGAGGACATGCAGTAGGGTTAGTCTATTCTAAATTGAGGGGTGGGTGTCAAAGAGCACAGTCCACAGTAGCTCTAAGGGTAAGTGGGGTAGATACCCCAAACTCTCCTCTCTTAGGAAGATGGCCAAGGTTGCCTCTGATATAGGGATATAGGGGGTCAATGGAGGCCACAAGTGAGGTACTGTACACTGGGGTCCTAAAAATAAATAAACCCTATCCACTCTGGTAGACACCAGTGCAGAATGCACAGTGCTACATCGGAACCCAGAAAGACATCCTGTCAAGTGGGTAGCCATAGAAAGATATGGGAGAAATTCAGTCAGGGCAAAACAAACTAAATTAAGACTGAAAATAGAGGACTTGCCACCGAGAGAATATGTGCTTGACATCAGTACAGAGGAAGAACAGCATGGGTAGGACAGGCAGGGGTCTCTGGATCAGCAACTTCTCTGGGGTCCTTGTTGCTTCCCCTTATTTTGTAAATTTGCCAGGTCCCTGGAAACCATCTGTGTGGGCAAGGCCAGCAGTCCTGGGAAAAGAGCTTGTTTGCTCAGAATTTGCAAGTTTATGTATCATGTAGAAATGAGTTCTAACAATTGACCCTCACACCAGGAAAATTTTAAATTTGAGAAAGAAAGAAAAACCAATGAAAGATGTTAAGCCAAATCTCTTGTGTATGTGAGGCCTGGTAAATTTGTATTGCTTATTGCAACTCCATGAGAGTAAAAAATAATTGTATCTCGCCCTAAGCCGTGATTAGGGGAACTTACCATTTCAGGTAAAAGCTCTCAGAACAGCAAGAGATTTCATTTTTAGGTTTCAGCTTTGAATTTATGTATAGATGTCTGATGAATCATTGAGTCAGAAATCCACCATTTGAAAGTAATGCCCTAAGGTTTGGGTTTCTCTGTCCTTCTCAAATGAACCATGGCATCAGGGAGATGATGTCATGACTTGCAATTGAATTGGATTTCAGAGAGGGAGAGCTGTGCAAAGTCACCTGCCTCATTTTCTCCTCCAGAGCCACCTAGGTCCAGTGGCCATATATAAATCAGGAGGACTGAGGTTGCCCAGGATGCAGGGGGAGACCTTGGCCTTTCCAAATTAAGGTCTTTCTGAGTTCTCACTTTGAGTTAGGCAACACCCATTCAGTGAATAGGCCTATTTAAGAAGTGAATCAAGAGACAGCCCCTTTAATAAAAAAAAAAAATCAAACTGAAAGGGGAAAACTTTCAGAATTGCTGGCCAAAAGAGAAACACCTATTATTGACATTCATTCTGAGCCAGGAGGGCCCAAAATATAACCATGAAGTGGTGCTGGGGCTGGGCCCTATTGTTGTCCAATCAATGAGATCCAGAGTGAATTGGGTTTAAGGCATGGTCTCTGAAAATGAAATCTATCCAATTAAACCTAAGTTAACAAGTTAGGTTTCAGTCATCAAAATTTACCTTCCTTTGGGCAGAACATTCTCATGTTTGGGCTTGATACCCCATGAGAACAGAGGAGAAGGAAGAGATGGGAGGGGAGGAAAGGAGAGGAAAGGAGCAGGAGTGGTGGAGAAAGAGAGGAAGATAAGAGAGGAGAGGAGAAAAAAAGGAGAGGAGAAGAAAGGAGAAGCCTGGGGAAGGGAGAAACTGATTTGCCCAACTGAAATTGGCCAGCTGGGTCCCCATTCAGGCAGCTCAGACTACTTACACGTTGTGGTTTGCCGCAAGCCACCCAGAGGGACTGTGATCCTGGACTGTTACAGATGGAGGAAAAAGGGAAAGCCAAGAGGAAACCTTGGCCTCAGCATAAGTTGGGATCTTCCTGCTTAGTTTCCCCATTGTGTTCCTTTGAGAAGGAGTATTTCCCTCCTGGCCATTCCTGAGTCTGGCTATGACCTGGAATTGGAACTGCGTGGTTCTTTGCAAACTGTGAGTCTTTCCGGAAATCAAACATATATCAGGATGCTTGATCATGTCATATATGTGCCTCAGCCTGAAGGACAGTTTGAATCTGGTATAATCATGCCCTGCTGTTGTCGTTGTTGTTTTCCTTTTATACCAAATTTCTAAAATCAGAGCAAGTGGTCAGTAGAAGATATGAGCACAATGCAATTATGTGAGATCTTGCTGTTTTCCATCTGAATGTGTAGCATTTCCATGTCCCAAACAAGTAAGTAAATTAGCACCCCAGGATTGCCATCAATCAGCTAATGCCTACAGAGATTATGACAAATTAAGTCCCTGAAATAGCTCATCCTTTCAGAAGAATATCGGAATAATTAGGCAAAGATAAAACAAAGTCCTTAAATATTTCCAAATGATACCAGAATAATTGGGTATTGGTACGACTGACTGAAGCACCTAGCTGTTATTCTATGAATGACTGAAACTAAATCAGAAACATCTTCAGTTTTCTTTTGAGAAGAGAATTTCAGTGCAATGAGTTTTCTTAGGGGGAAGTAACTTAGGAAATAATTTGTGTTGCATTAATCAAAAAGGCAATTTCATTTCAGTTTATTACTACTGTGGAAAAAACACCTGTTTGTCCTATGTGTCCTGTCGTACAAACATATATCATTACTAACGACTTATTGATATGCACTATTGTGGAATTGATTACTTGTGAATCCTCCCAAATCTTTTCTTATAATTGGAGTAAAGTAAGCCTATTATAAGTAAATTAATTAATGTAACTATTGAACTGAAGGGTGGAAAGCTTCTACCTGCAAGAGTGTTCTTACTTATATTTTCACGTATAGGACTGAATCCTCAATAGCATCTGATCCTCCTAAAGGAATTGGAATCAGAGTGGAAACTTGAGAAAGTGACAAGGTCAGACAATCTTGTATATCATATGTAAATCATTCTAACATGCCATGTAAAAACCTGAATTTTCTGAAGCTTCAAGCAAACTCTGGGTTCCTACACTGATGTGACTCTATGGTTAAGATCAGAACTCGAAGGTTTGAGCTGGTTTTCACAACATGATCTAGCTACAACATGTGTCAGGCGGTATTAAACTTGTACTGAGATCTGTTCTGTGAAACATTTTAGCAGGAACATCTAAGGAGTGTCTACAAGAAACTTGGAACCAGACAAAGAATTTTACTTAAGATCAGGTGATGCTCATCATTGTGCAAGTTTCCCCTTGACAGAAAGGGGGAAAACAGAAGATCCAGTTGTTCTGATGTCCTTCTGTAATTGATTCTATCCTGTGTCATGCCCCAATTTGTTGTAAACCTGCCCATGCCATGTTGTTCAGAAACTCTACCCACCTGTATTCAGTTCAGTTCAGATAGTCAGCTCAACCATTGATCTCCAAATGCCACTGGTTCTTCCTTCACCTCCCCAGGGGTGGGAGGGAAGAAAACTTTAATAATTGTGATCATTTTCTTATTGGTCATGGTGTTTTCCTATCTGTGCTTGTATTGCTTATGTGGTTTATGCTTACAAATGAGATCATTCTGACTGTACTAAAAAGGCCCTAAAGCACCCTAGTATACAGCTGCCCCAAAGACATTGTGAAAAATATTCAGAAAGAATGTATGGGTGCCTTTTCAGGGGTGGATTATAGGGTTCCTTTTGGGAAATAGCAATAAGCAAAAAGCCATAAAAACTTAAATCCTGTGAAAGGTAGAATCCCAAACGTGGTGATCTCTTTACCAATTGTAACTTAAGATAAAAAATTATATTTTAGACACCGAGTCAAAACTTAAGACACTATGACATATGAAAGTCATGACAAGAATATCATGACCCATATATGATCGAGAAATACATTTATTTCAGGGCATAACATTGGCTTAACTCCCAAGCTTATTACTAAGGAAAACACTGAAAATATATGCCAGCCAGTGAGACACTCTCAGTTCCTCCTCTCTTCATCTGTTTTCTCTAATTACCACAGAGATTTTTGGGTCTGTTAGTGGGAATCAACTGATCTGCGGGGCTGCAACCCCAGACTGAAGATTGCCCTTGTTTGTAAGTGTTCACAATGATGCTTAAACTATTACCAACAATCAATCTGGAGATGCTTGACCTCTTCATTTGGCATAAAAAAACCAATCCATGATTATGGGGTGCTACAGGGTTCCCCAGCAAAAGGAATTCCAGACCTTACAATTGGAGACAAAGTCACAGGTAATACTAATACTACTGTGGGTTGTTGTGGCTTATACAAAGAAATGACAAACTTCAGTTAGAGGTTAATAAAAATAAAGATATAATTTTTCCTCTTTCAAGTTCAGAGGTCCATTGAAATCAATCCTTGGGGACAAGGGACCCAAGATTAAGACCTTGGTTTAAAGGAAGGGAAAAAAGTAAAGATATACCAAAACAAGGTTTTCCTGTCAGGAAGGTTTGAATTGCAGTTCTGCCTCGGACACAAGTTGTGGGACCCTGGGCAAGTTCCTTAGAATCTCTGTGATTCAGTTTCCACAGCTGTAAAATGGGGTTAATAATAGCACCTACCTCAAAGGGTGTTGTGAGGACCGAATAACTTAACATACATATATGTGTGTGTGTGTATACACACACACACATATGTATATATACATATATGTATATAAAAAAGGGCTTTCCGAGTCTTGAAGTACTATATGAAGTAGTTATTATTATTTCAGCTTAACTGTCCTATTTCTGAGACCATCTAGGGACTGTTACATGCACCACCTTCAGGAGGTCTGAACACAGCAGTCTGAATCATGCTTTCTCATTTATCTTTCCTACACTGCTTCTCTCTTCAAAAGTCCCCATTAGATATAGCTTAAATGGGATACTGATTTCAAGCTCTCATTTACAGAGCATAGGAAATAGCTAACAATGCAATCTGTCTCAATTACTCACCCCCCCCAATTCCTGCTTATTCTCTATCAATTACCCAATGCACCTACCAGTAAAAGGAGTCATTTTTAATGAGGTTTTATTCACTATTCCCCTGAATTTATATCAACTTACAACTGGGTTTGGAATCTAGCAGAGGAAAAGAACATTAGTTTAGCTGATATTTTTAAAATAACAATAAAGAGATACTTTGACTGTTGTTCGGTCGTTTCTAATTCTTCAGGACCCCATTTGGGGATTTCGTGGCAAAGGCACTAGAGCGGTTTGTCATTTCCTTCTGCAACTCATTTTACAGATGAAGAAACTGAGGCAAACAGGAGTAAGTGATTTGCCCAGGGTGACACAGCTAGTACCTGAAGCTGATCTTTCTGATCATATCTTCCTGATTCAAGGCCCAGCACTCTGTCCTTCTGCCACCTAGCTGCCCATAGCCCAGGGGAAAAGTAAGCAAATCTTAGTCAATGAAGATCAGTTATAGAATTCTTTCAGTGACCGTGAGGGACTAAATGATGCTTAAGAAAATCCCTTCACTTGCCATTGTGGGGTAAAGGAGAGAGACTAGAAGAAGTATAAGAAACTGGAGCTGCCATTCAGATTTGGGATTTTTTGTTTCTTGGGAACCTGTTCTTTGAGTGGCAGACAATAAAGCAACCTTGCCGGGCAATGCCCACACACACACTGACAACAGCCCTTCCCTGCCTGTACAGTTTCTGCTGGCCTATTCCACACTGTTGCCACAGCCTGAGAAAGAGCCAAGATGACTGTGAGGTGATCAGGGTTTTATCCCATGTACCACCATTTTATGGCCATTACATTTGGAGGCAGCTGGTGGCCCAGGGGATAGAGCACTGGGCCTGAAGTCAGGAAGACCTCAGTTCAAATCTAGGTCAGACACTTACCGAGGGATTCTGGGTAAGTCACTGTAACCTATGTTTGCCTGAGTTTCCTCAACTGCAAAATGTAAAAACCAGATTAGATAATATTTGGAAACAGTGCTTAGTACAATGCTTAGCACATGGTAGGTGCTTAATAAATGCTTATTCCTACCTCTCTCCTATTAAGCCCTTCCAATCCTTCAGAAGCATGGAAACACCTGAGTGTAGCACTCAATTAGCCAGCATAATTAATTAACTGTTCATCTTTTTTTGTTTTTAGGCAATTGGGATTAAGTGACTTGCCCAGGGTCACACAGCTAGTAAGTGTCAAGTGTTTGGTCAGAGGCTGGATTTGAACTCAGGTCCTAACTATTCATCTTTCACCAAATGCAGGCGCCCTTCCCCCTGAGCTTTTCCTTGTTCACTCCTTAATCTCATGGCAACCTCTCCAGTAATATCTCAGGGTGCTTTTGCAATACTTCTCTCACAGCAAAAACTCATCATTACAGCTCTTGTCACAACCGGTGGCAGCTTTCCTAAATGTAAAGTATTTGAAGACCATTTGGGAAATAAAATTGCCTTCAGACTAATTCCCAGAATTGGCCTAATTGAAAAGCAGACCGATTCTGCTTTCCAGAAACAGTAAGGGAATGCAAGACAATTATTAAAAGTCTGCCTTTGAATATTTCCATTGGGTTCTTCTGCTTGCAACTTTCATCTACACAACTCATGACTCATTCTGCTTTGGAATGATATTCAAGATTAAAATATTGTCCTGGAGCCAATGATAAGTATGGCTGCTTATTTTGCATGAAGAGTTAACCTATTATAAAATGATGATATTTAATACGTTCTGGCACTCAGAGGTTCACAAAGCATTTAAGATCCATTGACTCGTTTGAGCCTCACTACGATCCCAGTGGTTAGGTCTTACCATCCTCACTGTATAGATGACTAACCAAACCCTAAGAGTTGAAGCTGTTTATTCAAGGTCACCCAAAAACCAGTGGATGGAGCTAGGTACCAGATGTAGATCTCCTCCTGAGTGCTGCCTGTCATGAACGACATGAACAACAACATGTAAAGTAGGTGATCTGTACCTTTTTTTATTTTGTTGAAAGTGGCTCCATGTTAGTTATATGCATGCTGTGTTCCCAGTTGGATTCTGAGCTCATGGAGAACAGTACCAGTGTAATGTGACTGGCCAATGGGAGCCCAGTCCTTAGGGACCATGTGCAGTGTGCTTGGCCTCTCATAACAAGAGTAATAAAGTATTAGAGAGTAATAGGGATTATAGTAATAATATTAATGATAATAGTCATCGAGAGTAAAATAGTAATACTGGCCATTACTTTCCTCTTCAGAGCATGCCCAGAAACTGGCTCACCAAACATCCGTGAAGGAAAACACATCAGCCAGAGTGTATGTGCATTGCTCCTAGTGATGGGCTCTCATTGGCCAAGCATCGCTTCACCAGTAATGCTCTCAGCTTAAAAATACTTCAACCATCTAGTTGTTATTACATCTGGATTCTCCCCATTGGATAATCATTCTTAGATTGCACATTGGTTAAAATTGAGGCCATTGCTATAATTTTAAAATCTTAATTTTTCTTTGCCATATACTTAATTGGAGCCTTGCTTTCTACTTGTCTAAATCCCATCTCCCTTGAAAGAAGTCATCAATGGTAATTTTCCCTTCTGAAAGCTTCGTGGACTTCTTCTGCTCCAGAAGATTTTCTTCAGTTGGGATGAGTCACACACAGCCTCTTGATAAAGCTGATGCAGCTGCTCCACCTGATGAGTTAGCAACTGGATCTCTTACTGAAGGACATCAGTTTTCTGCAAGGAAACTACAAAAGTGAGATTTGTCCCTATATCCCATGTTTGCTCTTTCCTTTCCAAGCAAACATGTGAATCCAAGTATTATAGTCAAAATATGGATTTCATTATGCTGGGAACTTTTCCCCCAGGAAATCTGCAGTGTATATCATCAGCTGAAATGGAGAGGAGAGAAGGGAGGCTCATATATGAAAATTAAACACTTCCGCTTAAACTTAATAATGTAACAGTCTACTAAATTTTCAGGACACTAGAGAAACTTGCCCAACGAGAAAAAGCTAGACTACTAGGCAAAAACAAGACTTCTATGGAAGGCCTCTGCAAAACATATTCAATCCAAGATAAACATCAATATTTGTGTGAACTGGAGGTCGACAAAGAGATGAAGAGACAGTTTTCACTACACTGATTTCAGGATTATGAATTTTCTATATGAGGCTGTTGTTAAACTGTTCTGCAGAAATTGAACAAGTGATTGCGCTTTTTAAATGAGCCTTATTGATACCTTTTTGGTTTTATATCAGTTCTGGGGGGGAAAGAGTTTGACAACCATCACATATTCACTAGATATACTTCCAAGTGAGTTTGGGAGATCTCCTTCTGAAGTGATATAAGCAGCATTATTGGATTTTAACAACTGGAAATATTTTGCTATGAGAAATGGAACAATTAACTTCATAGACTTTTTACACCTTCTCTTGCCTTACTATTGCAAAATCTCAACAATGGAAACGGATTTTTAATTTGAAATGAGGCACAAGCATTTTCTATATTAGGAATGTAAACCATATGAGCAGACAATTCTTAAGTGACAACTTTTCTGCCAACATACTCACATCTATCCAAATCATTAGTACTGATTTCTTGTATCCTTTCCATCACAGCTTCCTCTGTGTTTGGTATGGTGTTAAGGGTGTTGCTCAGAAAGCTAGTAAGTTGATTGATGAAACTCTAGTACTGGGGCTGGGAACTTTTAGTTTGCAAGTTCCGGGTGAATGGGGATTGGTCTCTTGTAGTCGTTTGCTCTTCCTTGTGAAGCAAATCAGGTGGACATTCTTCCCAGCTCTTCTGCCCATCTTTCTGTTGCTCTAAGAGAAAAATGTCTTCATTTTCCAAGTTCTTAATAGCTTCATAAGTGTCCTAAACATGCCAATAAATACTTGAAATCCCTGAATTTCAAAGCGAGTGATTTCACAGTCATTCTACTGCTAATTTTAAGGTTAAAGAAGAAGGCTATCTTTTCTTCTCTATATAAATATGGTCATAGTCTCTTCTTTGAGGCTACAAGACCATGGTCTTTCCATAAAGCATTCGTAGAGTCTTCATTTTTAGAGCTGGAAAAGATCTTAGAGAACATCTAATCTAATCCTCTAATTTTAGGGATGAAGACTCAGAGACCCAGAGCAAAGTAAGTAGCAAAATTCACTGGGCTGGGAGCCAGGAGTCTTGAGTCCAGGATCTGTCTTTTCTGCCTTAAACAAATTACTTAGTTCTTTGTATCACACTTTTCCTAATCTGTAAAAAGGGAATAAGAATACTCGAACTACCTTCTTCACAGCATTGCTCTAATGGTCTAATAACATAATAAATGCAAAACCACTTTGAAAAGTGCAATGCTTTCAAAATACTCTATGAAAGGAAACAGTTTTTACTGTTGTCATCACTACTTATGATCAGTGAGGAGATCTAGGGAACCAACATAATAGAGCAAAATATCTCCCGGACTAGTTCTGTTTGCTGTTTTTGAAAGAGTTACCAGAAAGAAAGAAGAAAATAAGCATTTATCCAGAGCCTTCTATGTGCCAGACACTGTGCCAAGAACCTCACAATATGATTTCATTTGATCTTCTTCCTGAGGGTGACTTTCATTCTTATGTCCATTTTACAGATGAGGAAACTGAGGCAAACAGGGTTAAGTGACTTTAAGTGCCCAGGGTCACACAGCTAGTGTCTCAGGCCAGATTTGGACCTCAGGAAGGGGAGTTTTCCTGACTCCAAGCCCTGCACTGTGCACTATGGTGCCCTCTAGCACCCCATAAGTTCATCATCTGTCAGGTGAGTGGCCAGTTTTACCTGTGTTCTCTCAGTTTATCACTGGTTATAAAGACTTTTCAAGTGGTTTCCTGTGTTGTCATTGTATAAATTTCTCCAAAAGTATTTTTTCTTATGCACAGACCTGATGTGACTCCTTTACGTCCCCTACTACAGTGGTCACCTATTAACATCTAGGGTTACAGACAAACTCTTTAAGGCTTTAAAACCCTTCACCACCTCATTGGCCATTACTGACCCTCCAGCACGTGGTAAGTCAGCCAAACAAGTGTGCCTTGCTGCTTACTGCCCACCACCTCCCTTATCCTCATTCCTCCCATCTTGGCATGAAGCCTTTCCTGATAGTCCCCAGCTGCTGGTACCATTCCTCTAAAACGACCTTGAATGCATTTCCATGGGATCATCAGTTTTATATTTACGCTATGTGCAGTTTTACACACCCGTATCCCCCATTAGCATGTAAGCTCCTCAAATATTGGGATTATTCCTTGTATCCCAAACGCCCTATACGGCAGTGCCCTAGAACATAGATCTTGGGACCACTGCTTAAATGATGTGGGAAGGGATGAGGCATCTGTGAATGTCATAGGAGGGGAAAAGTAGACGATTTGAGAGACAAGATATTTCTGTAGGTATGCAGAGATAGGGGAATAACTGGGCCTTTCACAAGCCTCATTCTCCTTGACCTCTCAGGAGCTGTTGACGCTACAGAGATCACTCTCTTCTGGGGTTTGGGGACACCCTTCCTTCCTCTCTGAATGCCCATCTCAGCTCTGGGTACCTGCTGTCTCCTCCCCTCTACCCCCCACATACCTGGAATGTTCTCTCTCACTACTGGCCTCCTAGGCTTCAACTAAATTCCAGTCATTTAGACTGGGAGCTCCTTGTAGGCAGGGCCAGACTTTGGCCTCCAAATTTTAAGTTCCCAGGGCTAAGCAATCCCTGGCACAAGTTGATTGACTGGCTTTAGTTACGTACGCTCAATAATACGCTCAAGATAAACCTGGGTTCTTCTGTTACTCTGTGGTTCCAAAAGGCATGATGAGAAGAAGATACACTTCTATGATAAAATGAAGGATTGAGCATTCTGATTCCAGGGTAAGAAGCCATTATTCCTCCCGCCTTTCACTGGAAAGATGCAGTCAGTCAGTCAACATCCACAAGAACCCTGCTACAGTCTTTGGGATGGCTCAAGGTACCAGTAATCTACCTTTTTTCTATTCAAGCCTTTAATTTCATATCCCATACAATCCTCTATAATCATAAGAATCTTGCCCAAGGCTGGCTTCTGTGAAAATGGAAACTCCTCCCCTTCTCCCCTCCCAAAGCAGTTTTTGCTTATGAATACTGCTACATTAAGCCTTCAAATATCCAACAGCCAAATGAGCCAAGTTAGGCCTTAAAAGAGTTGGAACAAGGTCGAATCTCTGAGTTTCAAATGGCAGGCCCACGTGTTGTCGACATTCTAGAATTTTCAAAATTGGACACTGTCTAAACAAAACTTACTACAGTGAAATCTGAAAAAGCCAGTGTTTGGAAAAAAAAAACAACTTCCCCCCCAACAGTTTTTGCCGTTGTGTTAGAGAGAAAACAAATGAAACAAGATAAGATAGATTATGTTTCATAAAATAATCATTGCAAGGGGTGGAGAAACATTGGGACTGCCATAAAAATGCATGTGTATACATTCTGTGTATAATTTATTTACCACAAAACCATGAGTAAGTAAATTCAGTGAATTCACACAAAAAGTTTTTAGGTTATGAAGAAAAACATTTAATGAAAAGAAGTTTACATTTGCTAAAAAGAAAACCCCAAACAAAAAACGAATGTTCATTGCCTTGAACATTGTCATTCACTGCCCCATTTACAAAATAACTTGAAATTTTGTGACAATCAAACTATTTTATTATATTCACTTAAAATTATATGCCTTAAAATTATATTTTACTATTTTAAGATGACCATCATTTTTGCTGTCTTCACTTTCTTTGTTGCCTGGATTTGGAACAAAGAACACAAGATAGACATATGTAAATAATTTATCTTGTATACATATGGATTCACAGCAGACAGATGTAATGGCATTTCCAATTACAAAGTTATTTAGAAACACTAGAGCAATATCCCATTATCTAACCACAGTACCTGAAACCCAATTTCCTATTAGATCCCATATGCTAGTCTTCTTTTCTGCAAAAATTCTACAAGAGAACCTGTTCAGTTTAGGTTTAATATTTTTTTTCTTTTTCAAATCAATGAAAAAGGAAAGATCTGCAAGACAAATCACAAGTTAACTTAAACATTTTATTTAACATAATCGATCACAAGCTACACTGGGGTAAACCTCTCAGTTTGTTGATATGTGGACTTATATAACTTCATATCATTTTTGAAATGGCTGAAGGAAATGCTAAATTCAAAAAAGCATTGGCTTTCAACTAAAGAATCCTACACTGGGTCAAAATGGATAAAATATAGAAACAAATTCACACGCACAGAATGTCCAAATTCATATGATGAGAGGCCTAAGTTACACTTTTCATCGTGAAATTCAAGATAATGCAACATTCACTTGAATTCTTATTTCTGACAAATGTGCTATATTCTAATATTAGGTCAATTGAAGAGTCTGGTTTCCCTCTGCTTTAATCCTACTACAGTGACCAGAGGGCTCTGGAAAGTCATCTCTGTGCCACAAACTGGGCCAGGTTTCACTCAATTCAAAGGTTCTGAATCTAGACCCAGTGAAGGACTTAACAGTGTGTGGAGGTGGCCTGTGGACCAGCCAAACAAAGTGCCAAGATCGTACCACAAGATAAGCTGCCCTCCCTCTGTAAGCAAGTAAGGGCCCAAAGGCCATCAATTGAGTTACGGTGTGACTGTAAGATAATCGGTAGAAGAAAGATTATGGAATAGTACACGAAAATTCCTCACTATTCTTACAACAACAACAATTATTTAAATAATAAGGTGAGGAAGTTCCTTTTGAATACCTGGGGAATTGTAACTATAAATTAAAGTTAAGTGATGCTTATTAAGGCTTTCAGGATAGGTGCTTTAAAATGTAAATAGTTTAGGGCAAAACAATCTCATCCATCTGGGGCCTTCAACTCTTTAGAACAGGTGTGAGAACCCTAAAGACAGAGGGACCAGAGAGTCTGCTTACTTTACCCACAATTGTAACAGGTTAGTTATATAGTTTTCTATAGCTGCCAAGGAGGTTGGGGGAGGGGAAAAGGGGAGAAGGAAAGCAAATGACAGTAAGAAAAAGGTATCGCTGACAATGAAGAGCCTGGGATGATTGTGGGTCTGCAAATATCATTATATTACAGCATAGTAATTGATGTTCATAATGATGACTACTACTCATCAAGAAAAGGTTAAATTACATTTTGAATACTCAGCTTTAGAAAGCAGAGAAGTGTGTAATAGATTTTAGCAAGGTTTCTATCTAAAGTGGTTAAAACAAAATAAAAAAAGCTAGTGCTTAAAGGACAGAGTGAGGGTTCAGTGATCTGTAAAATTAGCTTCTACTATCCAAATCTGATACTACTTGGATAAACAAGGCATTATACTGTACCTAAAAGAATCAATGTTTTACCATTCATAACAAATCGTTGCTCTTCACTTTGGTTTCAGAATAACAAAACTAAAAGCAAACTTGGTTACCTCCCTGCCCTACAGTGCTCATTTAAAATTTTTGCTTTGTTAGGTTAGGGAGGAAGCTCAACATATTCCAAACACTTAGGCACTCCTCTGCCCCAAGACAGAGACAAGATCTGTTTCATCTGTTCTGGAAAAGTTGACCATATATGTGTTCTCAACACAGAATAAGGTAAAGATTGGTATAGAAAAAAGGGTTTCGCATTATATTTTATTTAAATTGCCTTAGAGAGCAAACACACATCACTTCATTCCAAAGTCATGTAAATGCTTTTTAGATTATCTTATATAATACTGAGAGCTGAACTTCAACCATTGAGAAATTTAGCAAAACATGTGATATGCCCATTAAAAAGAAACATCATAAAATGTGACATCATACCTCTTTTGAACTCCTGGTAGCTGGTCTGGTCTGCTTAAGTTGTGTTTTCCTGTTTTCCATGAGTTCAAAAACTCCTGGTCATTACTTAATTTTATGGGTTCCTCAGTGACCTTTTCTTGAGTCTGGTTTTTGTTATTTTCTAACACAGCACTGCTGCTGGGTTCTGTAAGCAAAGAAGGCTCTGAATGGATTTCTTTTAAATTGTCACCGACCGGTGGGACAGATTTTAGGAGACGACTCTCTGGGCTATACTTTCCAACATCAATTGGCTCGAACAGTATACTGCTAGGTGTCTTTGATTTTATTCTCTTTCTGAAAAGAGTAGTGTAAAAAGTTTTCTTCCAATTTGAGACTTTTTCTGGGGTTGATTCTCCTGCTGTGGTGGAGGGGTCATGTTTGCTAAGATTGGCAGATCTTTGCAGATCTGTATTGCCTGCTTTCTCGTTGTTAGGAAGAATCTGGAGAACAGTTGCTTTTCCAACCTTACCCAAAGGTAAGATGTCCTTTGACAAAAGATTAAATCCTATCTATTCTGCATTGTGTCTGCTTCTTCTGAGTAGACCTTCAATGTAACTGGTGTTCAATCATAGCTCTATTTTTGTTCTCAGCGCAAGCTATCTCCATGGCCCTCAGCAAAGGAGTACTATAGATTTCTTCGTCAGTTCCATTTCGGCTTCCAATTCTAAAGGATTCTTGCACTCTATCCTGGGCTTTATTTTCCAGGCTTGGAAGCTGCTTTTCAATGATCTTTTTTAGACTAGGTATCCGATGAATGTCTTGAGGTTGTTTGTTTCTGTTTCTAGTTAAACATAAAATTCCTTGAGGTACCAATGAACTTTGAAAGATATCCGGGCAAATACCTGTGCATTTGCCATCCTTTTCTATGTTCCTAGATGTTAATACAGCATTAGATCCTTTCAGGCCTCTATTCTTTTTCTTTTTGCCACTAGACTTTAATCCAGTCTTACGAACTTTCGCAGGCTTCTTTGGCTCTTCTACCTTTGTTTCAGGTGCCACCCTGGCAGCATGGAGTAATCTAATGCCCCTACTTCTAGATGGTCAAGACCTGTGACATGGACTTTCACTGCATTCTTCTCCAGGAGACTCTTCCCTAGACACTCCATATATATCCTCTCTTGAGTTTCTGTTTCCTTTTTATGTGATCTTGATGACATAAACTTCTCCGGGAAGCTCTTGTGCAGTTTCTTTGTTTCCTTGGACAATGTATCTACTTTATTTTTGCCTCTGGTTTTCGAAGTCATCATCCCTATATTGGCACTTGCATCTTTAAGTTTCTTCTCCTCATTCTCTGTCTTACATAGTTCAGTCGGTAAACCTAAATTGGGCTCTTGTGGTTCCTTAGCAGACTTAAGTATGTTGCTAGATGTTAAACATTCCACCTTTTCATGAACTGTGAAACTCTTAGGTGGTATCTTTTCCTTACTCTCTATGCATATCTTCTTTTTCAAATTTAACTTGCTTCTCTTTCTTGAAGCCAGTCCATCTTCAGTCACAATGGTCTTCCCCTGCAAATTTTTGATACTTTTTTGTTCATTTTCTGTGTGTAACTCATTGATTTCACTCAAACTCAAATTTACTTGCTCCATAGGTTTATTTCTGTTTCTAGGGTGCAGTATTGCCTTTTGACTCTTTAACAAACCTGGAAAATTCTTAAAAGGTTCCTTTTCACTATTTCAGAATGTCATATCTGACTGCCTAGGAAATATTTCCTTTTTATTCCTAGAACGAAACACCATCATTCCTTTATTCTCAATTTTTTTCAATTTCATTTCTTTTAAGACCTTTGGTGCCTTCTTTTCATTTCATTGTGTGTGAGATGTTATTTCACTAACTGAATCACTAACTTTTGTTTTTCATCAGTATCAGTTTTAGGTCTAGCATTCTCCATCAGTTTGAATCTCTTTAGATCTTCTGGTTTTACTTTTGATGTTTTGAAAACTCTCCTGAAACCTCCTAAAAACCTCCTAAAAAAGTTTTCTCCTGCTTTTGCCTTTTCCTTATGAACTGTCATATTCCTATGACCTGGAAGCTCTTCTACTTTTTTGGGTTCTCCTCTAAGTTTCCCTAGGCTGCTTGGTGTGTTTTCTATTAGTTCTATTTTGGGTATTTCATATAACTTCTCAATACTCATTGAGTATTCTGGATCACATTTTTTCTGTGATGTTTTACCAGACTTCTTGACAACTTTCACGTCTTCTATTAAATGTTCTTCCCTTTCCTTAGGCGTTCTTATCAGTCTCCTGGTGGTCAGATCTTCCACATTTCCACTTTCAAATTTTTCTTCCACGTATGTAACTTTTTGATCTAGTGCTGCTGTTTTTTTAATTCTGCTAAGATGTGGTGTTGATCTATTTTCCTTTGATGTACAAGTGTTTTTCAAAAGTGAAATATTGGGTGTTAATATTTTGGGGTCTACATCGACTTCTTGAAGTGGCATCTTTGTTATTTCACCACTTCCAATTTCAGGGATCTTCTTTAGGGTTTGAATGATTTCATTTGCAGGGCAGCATATCATGCTCTGGCCATATAGCTGTTCCACTGTGTTAGGAATAGTACGTATCAGTTTCTCTGCTGTAATAAATGACAGAATAAAGATAATTATGAAACAAAGACTATGCCTCCACTCACTAGTCTAGGGACTAATTCTTCTTTATGAATTAAAGGTCTACCCAAATTATTATTTTGTAGTCTTGTGTTTTCCTGGCCAATGATAATAATATTTAGTAAGATGATGCAAATCTGTGCCTATCCAGGTTAAAATGATGCAGATCTGTGCCTATCCAGGTTAAAAATATATATATATCTAGATATAACTAGATAGATACATAGACACATAAATATAGACATATATGTTGCATTACATGTAAATATAATATATAGACATATATACCTTTAAGTTATGGCTAGTTTGGTTGGAATACAGAGTACATGAAGGAGAGCAATATGAAATAAAGTGAGTTTGGGGAGTTTGCGTTTAGTCCTAAAGGACGAGGAAGCCAACTAAAGATTCTTGGGCATACTAATTACTATGGGTTGGATCTGCACTTTAGGAAAATAACGTTGAAAACTGTGTGAAGGGAAGGATTGTGGAGAGGAGGCCAATTAGGAAGTTATTTTAACAGTTAAGGGCTAGAGGCAATTAGGGCCTAGAAGTAGAGTGCTGGCCACTGTAGTAGGAAAAAAGGGATACATCCCTTTATCCTTGGAGACAGAACTGACAAGACTTGCAATTGGATGGGGGAGATTGAAGTCAAAGATTCTTTGTATAGTTGCTAAGTATAACTTATAAGAAATGTCTAAATTGTCACATCACAAGAATGTCTGAACTACGTTTAGATGTTAGCTCTCCTTATTCATCATAAAGTAAAAATTCTACATGGATAGGTTATGTCATTGTGATTCAGTGAGGGACCAGCCCTTTGGGTTGAAGGTTAGCTATAGCAACTCATGAAACCTCTACTGGCATGGCAAGGGCAAATCATAACTTGCCATTCCAAAGTTTCACAGAAGAAAAAAAGAAAAACCAAGCACTAGAGTCATCATGTAACCTACGTTCTAAAGAGTCTTCATCTCCTGAAGAATTGTGTAAATCTCTACCAATGTCAGGAGACACATTTGCAGTTTTCTTTTTGATGGGGGTTTCAAACATGCCTGGTAATGCTATTAATGAAGAAAATAAGTAACATTAATGTATGCAATAAAAACATAGAACATCATATATGCGTATGTACTGTATATATTACAGATATGTATTTTTTAAAAGTAAAAAAGTCATATTCCACCCTCTTCCAACAAGAAAACAATGGGACAGAGTCCCCTTCCATTCTATTCATAAAGAGATCTCTTCTCAAAATCCCGGGCATGCAATCAATCTAGATGCAAACTCTTGACTCTCATTCCTACTTCAAACAATGCAACAGACTCCCTCTGCTCATTAGGCATAATGATTTCTTTTCAAAGTCCAAGGCCCCCAACCTAGGCTGCAACTCAACTCTCCTTTCCTGCTTCCTTCCACTGGCTTTCAGTTCTTGACTGGCATTTAGGCCAGTCTGTCTGCTTCTCTTGTTGCTTCACAACCACCTTTATTCTTCCCGACCACATACCGCAAGATACAGCCTAGCCCTGCCCAGAGGCATAACTATGCCAACTCAGAGTTATCATGGGGCTGGTTTGTTTGTAGCTGAAAAGATAGGCTATCCCACCAGATCCGACCACAACAATTGGCCAGGACCTCTCAAGAATGCACGCTCCCCCTTCTGTAAGGAGGTGGGGAGCACTTCTATCAGCTCTTTTAAAATTGTGCATCTACAAACACACTGCATGACATTCTCATGGCCTTCTGTGCACACTCTTTCACCTGCTAAATCCTCATTCATATCCATCTTAGGGTTTAAAACAAAGTTGTTCAGCATCATACAGGGCCATACAGGCTCGGTCACTTTTTCAGTATGAGCTCTGCCAATCACTAGGGTGCAAGGAGAGTTTGCGAAGCTTGTGCTAAAGTGATTCTGTGAGTGGTTTGCAGGCTTCTTCTGTAAAGGAAAAAGAAACATTTCCAAAAATAAATTCAGTATTTCTTAATGTTTGCTCAGATGACATTCATAAGTACACAAATGTAAATGTGTAATACACATGATGATATATATGTATATACACACATGTATTATGTATATGTATAACATGCACACACACACACACACACACACACGTAAAAATGATCTCCACATTTCTGTAATGTACCTTGACCTTGGGGGTTAATCTCTTCTGCTTTTTTATTATCCTTCTCTCAAGACCATGTTTTGTAACAATGTGTGCTTGTGGTTTTTTTAGTACCTAATCTCACCACATCTGCCCAAGAGTGTACAACTGTTAAGGAAAGTAACCAACAATTAATACAAATAAAATTCATTCAAACAGAACATAAATGAACATTTTTTGGATAAAACAATCAACAAAGAGAAAACCAAACCTCCCTAACCACTGATATCTTCTCTATTTCTAGTCACCCAACTCACTTCAAGGCATTCTCTCCCCCACTTTCTTGCTGGATACATCCAGCCAAATGTTGCCATTTATCTCTTCTCCCCACATCTATCAGGTCAAACTCCTCTTTTCTCTTCACTCACAAATACCACCAGATACTGTATCTAAAAGCTGCCCCCCTACTCTCACTGCAAACTGATTTGTAACAAGTGCCGAATTCCTGTTTTCCCTCCTTTTCTCTTTCCTGCAGTAGTTGCCAAAGTGATTTTGGCTAACCCCAGCACACGAGTCTTACCCATCATGTCTCCACTCCTTCCTGTTACTGACAAACTCTAAAAGCAGCTTTCTATCACTCCCATGAGATTACTAGCTTTTCCAGCCTTGTTTTATTTACACCTTTTACCTCAAGCCCCGCACACAGCTCTGCACTGTCTGATCCAGCCATATACTGGCCTTCTTACTGTTCCTCCTACATCTGTTCCCTCTGTTGGTAGACTGAACGTCTTAAGCTCTTTGAAGCCAGGGGACTGCCTGCCCCCTGCCTGTAAAAACCATCGGAAAATGATTCCCTGCTCAAATACCCATGAGATTGTCTTTTGGTGCTCCTCTGTTGGAGTCAATCGTCTGTAGCGCATCCAAAACCTGGCTTCTTCTTGCAGAGGAGGATCTCCTCCAGACCGATGGTGTGCTCAGGGTCTTGTGGGGCTGGATGGTCTGGATTTCGGGAATAGATGTTGTTCTCTCCTCCACGAATTTTGACAAGGTGATGTTATCCCTGCTCGGTGCAGACTTCTTATTAGGAATGGCAGGAAGCTGTTGGTGTGGGTCTTTTGTACATGGCGGTATCCCTTCCACTACACTGGGGGAAGGCTCTTTTTCTGGTGGTTTAGAATGCGTCTGCTGCAGTGGACATTTTTATACAGTTTATAAATGACAAGATGTGCTACGGTTCCCTAATAAATGACTGAATATGGCCAAGGTGCATCAAAAGCCTGTAACAGACATTTCATTTGAGTCTGACAACAACCCTCTGAGGGCTAATCCTCCAGAGACGATCTCTGCAAAGGCACCCCTCGAGGCTCAATGAGCTTTGGGGACAAAAGTCTCCCCCTGCTGCCAGGTAGCAGTGAGACGGATATAGCAACATGTATGTCTCTGTATAACAATGATGCCAGCCACCATTGGTCCTGAGAATGTTAGTTTAGGCCTTGCCTTCCTACCAATAAAAGCTACGCTACCCCAAAGTTGGAAAGGATTGCTTCCCCAAGGCAATTGGAGGTAGATGAGGTCCTCAGACAAAGCCTGTCTGGCCACTTGTTAGGAATGCTGGCAAGTTCACTGGTTTGCTGTAGATGGGACCCCTGCCATCAGCTCGAAAAGCATGAAGGGAGTTTTCCATCACTACTAGAGCTCAGTGCTGCAGATTTACTGTCTACCACCACCCAGTGGCAGCAACCATAACTACAGGGGCATACTGTTAGGAGTGTTGTTTGGCAAAGGATTCATTTCTTTACCTAGCAGCACTTGTCAGGGTAGCAAAGAACTTTCTCTTTTCCCAATGACCCTAGGAAATAGGGACTATCTTACTTGCCCCCCTAAGTATAAAACGAATAGCAGCAGCACAAAGCAGAAGCTGAACATGTTTAGAGTCTGAGGGCCCTACCCTGTACACGTCACCTCCCTTTGATGCTCTGAGGTCTTACAAGTTTTAGGGTCTGATTAAGGCAGAGTGTATAATGGGCAAAAAAAGGTTTTGCTTATTTTGTGCATCACATGCTATGTATGATGGCAAATGTTAAGTGAGATTTTATGTCTCAGCTTTTCTTTTAAACACTGCAATAACCATAGCAGACCTAGAGAAACTCAGGGCACTCAAGCGTGTTCACGCATGTTCTCTATCAAGACATGATGCTCCCCTTACAGGCTGGAATACTTTGAGTCCCTAGTGTATGAGAAGCCAACATAACAACAAATAACTGAACTCTCTCCATTTAAAAAAGATATTCCGTAGGAAATCATTTTTGAAGATAGGATAATATATACCAGTACTTGTTAAAAATGCAGTTAGGGTATGGATCATAGAGAAATGCATAATTTCAACTACAGACAGATTAAATGCTTGTCTAAAATATTGTACCTTCATTATTGACTTTCTCGGGACCCAGGTTGTGGATGCTGTTTTGCTCGTCTCTGGGCTTTCTCCTTTTTCAAGAGGTGTATTGGGAGGTAAATTTCCATCAAATAATTCGGGTCTCAGAGGGGCTCCAAAAGAAACTCTCCTCCTTTTTTCACGTGATTTGTTATTCTCAGTAACATCTTAAAAAAAAGTATATATATATATATATATACATACATATATTTGTATATGCACCATATATATATATATATATATATATATATGTTTATTTAATGTACTTAACTCCACATGCTGAATACAACAGAAAGATATGAATACACACACATTATAGCCTGAAACTGATTGGGATATGAAGGAACTTTCCAAAGACTTCTCAAGAGGATGTTCTGTGTTGCCTAGAATCCAACTCTGAATCCTCCTACAAAGCACTGTTAAAATGTGTCGAGGGGGCTTTGGGAGCAAAAAAATGAAGTGTTGCCTTTCCAATGTCCTCCTCCTGATGGCATCTTTGGATGGGTTATCAGTTATCAATGACCCTAACAATTTAACTTTTCATTATCTGGATCTGTTGAGGAGACAGGCAATCCATAATTTTGAGAGAGAAAGGAAGTGAGCTGATCAACTTGCATCAGAAAAACTCCCTCTGTCTACAAAAGAAGAACCCAAACTAAATGTATCTTATAAACATGTTTAAATGTAGACTATACAGACTACTACACACAAATGGCAGAAATGTAAAATCTCTTTAGAAATTAAGATTTATCCAGTAGGTGAGTACTTGAATCAGAAGAGGAGTCAAAATCACTGATATCAAAGTCACTGATATCAGGTGATACACAATAAGGTATCTCATCACCTCCATCCTCATCTAACCATCTGTTAGAGGTTTCATCATCATCTTTTGAAGATAGTGTTGGAAGAAAGCTCAACGGGTTCTTTGTGGGACCGGTAGAGGAATTACCTGGTCCGGGAGAAAGACATGTATTAGAAACTTTCATTTCCAACAAGTCTTTGAAATATGGTTCATCTTCAATTTCTTTTAATGTTTGTTCTGAATTTGAAGCTTTCTTTGCATTACTAAATGGATTACTGCCACTGTTCTTTGGACGTCCTTTATTTTTAGCCAAATCTACAGATTCACCTGTGCTCTCTTTGAGAACAGGCTGCTCAATAGGTGAACCCTCTCTCTTCAGTTTGGGCAGGTGGGCATTGCCACCACTCCTCAAAAAGCACATGTCGGGCTCATATACTTGTATAAAATGATCCTAACAAGATTAGCTAAGCTGCTCTCTAACCTCTAACCCCCCCTCATCCTCTCCCCTATCCTAACCCCATTATCTGGCTCCAGGCCACAATGTTAAGTATTACTTTAAATTTCATCTATTTCTTTTCTTCACTTAGTTTCACTTCTAACCTATTGCTGAACAAGGTTCTACTGTTGTTTTCCCCCCCCCCCGAAATAAAAAAACCAAAACATAAACAAGGAAACAGTTACTGACCAGGGCCCAAAACTGAGGTACTTCGGGATGGAGTTGGTATCACCTGTGAATCGGTACAGGTGCTTATTAATGTTTACATGTACTTTGTGACTATAAGGAGAATACCACTGTTATAAAGATACTATGCCCCTCCCTCCCCATGCCCCCTTATCAAGTTAATTCCCATGATAAAGCTAAACACCCATTATTTTCATGAATAAGTAAACTGTTATAACTTTGTTGTAAAGTTCTTTGAATCTCAAGATACATATACATTGTTCTGATTGCTTACAACATGCATCATATTCTACACGAGTTTTGATTAAACTTATTTTTGCATCAATCAAGTAGGGTCCACCTTATAAGAAAGAACCTCAGACTTCAAAAAGATGGCCAAGAAAATATCTGATATGATAATGTCTGAATCTTTTTACAGATGTCAGTGTTAAAATCATGAATTAATTCTACGTGTTAGCAACAGAATTAAAACTGTCAACCCCATCACTGACTGAGCAAAATCAGACATGAAAAGCCCAGAAGAATTATTGGAAGACCTCTAGAAGGTCAAAATAGAACAAACATTATACTTTCATGCCTCTTTGTTTTTTGTTTCTGAAGGCGTTCTTAGCTCTCTTTGGCTTAGAAAGCCATGTTGATATTCAAATCTGAAGAGGGTTAGAGGTAAGGTAAAGATGGTTTAAAAATAACGATTTTAAAATGTTGTATTAAAAACTGGCAACCAAGCTAATTACCACCTAATGATGTACATACATAATATCAAATAGCATACACTGGCACATGCCTATACAATTATTAGCTTAAAAATGAGCGCCTGGTTTCCATACTAAAAGAATAAT